TCCCAAATACAAAGAGTGACCAACCAGCCATCCCCACCCAGGCAGTGTTTCGGAGGAGAACAGGCAGCGAGGGAGTCCCACTTCTGTGCGCTCGGGTGGGAAAGGGGAGGGATCCCTCTCGTCCCAAGGGATGTTGGGAGAAAGCACGTGGGGACTTGGAGGAGATGCAAGGGACAACACCGTTACCGCTGGGACACGAAGCGAGGCTTTCTTTAAGCCATTCGGAGGAAAACAGGATTCCCTGGAAGTGATGGGGTCATAACGGAGCCTTGGAAACCACCGGCAGGTCTTTAAAATCGTCCCTACTCTTCCCCGGCGCTTTGTGACTCTGGAGCTTTTGAAACACCGGGGACTCCTTCCCCCTTTGTACTCCGAGAGGCAGAAATCGTTCCTTACCTGGCAGGGAGCAAAAGGGAAGAAGACAAGAAAGACTCGAGCCCAGTGAAGTGCTGAAGGGCTCAGAGACTCTGCGAGCGCGGAGGTTTCAGGGGGAGCGGGGGCTCCCCCGCGGTCAGGGCCGGGGCGGCCACGGCAGCTCGGCAAAGCCACGAGCTGGGACTGGGCGCCAGGAGCTGGGCGTGATGTCGGGCAGGCAGACGCGGGTCTGGCTTACAGCACCGTCCCAGGACAGGAGCGAAACCTCCTGGGGCAGCTGAGCACTGCGCCCCCCCAACCCCCCCACCCCAACTCTTCTGAAGGGGCGCGGTTCCCTTTTATCCTGGAGTTTCCCCCAAACTGCGCTCAGGCTGCCAAGCGCCCACGGATCCTGCCCGCCTTTGATTTTAGAGTCGAGGAACGGCTGAGGTTCACCTCTGTACCCGTCCGATCTGCATTCCGCATTCCTAGCCCGTGTTCTTTAGTCCTGCTCTCCCTACATTCCTCCAGGTCTGTTACAGAGCTGCTGCTCTCCTGCAGAACAGGGTAAGAAACTGGAGCAGGAGGGCAGAGGCTGCGGGGTAGATCGGCAGAGGCACGCAGGTTAAAACCGGTATCAGTTTAGCGAGGCCTTAGCTGCCAGGGAAGAGGGATGAGCGCCCTGCAGTCAGCCCCTGCACGGGGAGCTGGAACCCCCAGGCTCGGGGCCGGTTGGGTGCAGAGGGCTGGGTCGCTCTGCCCGGGCTCGCAGGACTTGAGCAAACTCAGCCCAACTCTCGCACCGGGAGTATTGTCTGGCGGCCGCACTCCAGCACCCTCCCAGCACCGCGGGTCCTGGTGTTGCCTCCCAGCACCGCTCCCCCCCCGACCCCCAGCGTGAGCCCAGTCCCGGGACGGGGAGGACGGGGAGGGGGTCGCGTCCCTGCCCATTCGGTGCTGCCTGAGCGGGTGTCACCCCGCGCCACACGCCGCCGGTCGAGGAATTGATCTTCCATGGACGGTATTACCTGTGGCCAGGCCCTGCCGCTGAGCCCCGAGTCGCTGCTGCCAGCCCCACGGCCCCGCCGCGCCCCAGAGCCCCCGCTTTTCTCCACAGCTGAGCCGATTTCAGGCACCTTCTACCTGATGTACGCTGAAATGTCATTTATCACTAATTACTTTGTGGCAGAAGCATTCAAAGCATCAACTTTTAGCGACATCAGCCTGGCAGAAAAGGCAGTAATTATGCCAGTCAGAATAATTTATTAAGTTAAAATAATTCCTTCCTGTTTTTGATTAAAAAAAAAAAATAAAAATTAACAATTCTATTACCTACGTAATAAAATAATTGTGTAACTAGGACCAAACAACTTGCAAAAATTACAAGTTCAGGGCAAACGCTACATTCTCATTTAACTAATGGTCCTTTTCTTTGATTTCACAAACTACTGACGTGTCCTCAGGTCCCTTTAATGCCGACAGCTGAAGAGCCGGGCTCCCCGTCCCGCCCGGGGCTGGCTGTGGCGCTCAGACGCTCGCGCTCAGCTGCCGGTCGCTGCCTCACAGGCCCAGGTGCTTTTGGGAAATAATCCTGAAAGGTTTGGACCACTGATAGGACAAATTACAGACTTTGTTTTTTTAATTTCTGGGAAGCGTCGAGGCCGTAGGAAGCTCGTTAAAAGCTGAGAGCCGCTTGGATGGCTCTACATGGCGGATGATGAAAGGCGGGACCTTGGGTGTGCGATACAGGACACGGGGAAAACGGCGGCAACTTCTTAAGCCTGAGGCAACGAACTCGAGGAGGTTTCTGAGCAGATTTACTTCTCTGCGTGGCGCTAAATGGCCGGACAAATGGCTCATGCAACTGCTCGCAGAGTAACCGCAGTCAGATGTGGGATGCTGGCAGAAGGCTGAGCTGCCCGAGAGGAAGGGTTAAGTTCCGTTTGCCCACGCAGACCTCCTCGCTCCCAGTGACGGAATGGGGTAGAAATAAGAACCTTTTGAAGCTGCAGCTAAGTAAATCTCTGATCTTCGCAAGCAGCACTCCCTGTTTGGGTTTCTTTCCCAAACAGATGGATACTGCGGCATGAAATTGCCAAGATTAAAGGCAGCAGCGGTTTGATGCAGCCAACTGGGGAAACGGCCGGGCCATTCGAGGACGGGGATCCAAAGCCTTGGCAAAGGCCCCGCTCGGCACGCGCAGAAGGTAAACAGCCCAGGAGCAAAGCAAAGCCCGTTGGCTTTGCGGCACAGAGGCACTGGCAAAGCCACAGATAGCGAGGAAGGGCCTGGTTCGGGGATGGGATGCGCGAGCCACACGTCGCCGTAAATAAATCATGAACCTCCGACACGCGGCTGATTTGTTCTCTCGAAAGCTGCGGCTGGCAGCAGTTCCACCCAGCAGCGTTCACAACTGGATTCGTAACAGGCTATTAATGTTCAATCACACTTTTGTCGGTGCAACTCTGGAAACGAGAAGCGGCCACAACCACGGGCTCTCTGTCCCCTTCCCAGCTCCTGCCGCAGCCGCGCTCTCCTCACGCAGGCTTGGCTTCGCTGCCGCGCTGGGCAGATCGCCTCCGAGCATACTAAATTATTGAAAATTACTGCAAGTGAGCAGCAGCAGCAGGAGGATTGTGCTTCGAGACAGAGCCCAGCATTAATCCCGGCCCAAAGCCCTTGGGGAGGAGTGCCAACGCGAGCAACACAAGGCGCCGAATTAGGAATTGCAAGAGGCTGCTTCCCGTCGCAGCAGATGGGGAAGGATCCTCAAGGCACCTTGGGAAAAGCGAGAGCAGAACAGCTCAGGCCGTGGCGTTCCCAGGGCATCCATCCGCCGTAACACCTGGGTGGGCCCTGGGGACGCTCCGCACGCTCAGCCGTGGGCACCGGCCTTGTCTCGCAACGTGGCTCCAAACCCCGAGGTTCCAGACGGGTGTCAGGATGCGATTTTAACGCCTCAGCCGCTTCATCCACCAAGCAGGAACCTCTGGGCAGCCCCAGCCCGGGACCTGCACGTCCGCAGCCTCCAGGGACCGTGTGTGGCACACGAGGCCACCCCTGTCCCCCGACCACTGTTATTTCCAGGCAAAACGCATCAGAGGTTGTTACCGAATGTGGATCACAACAATCTAAACAGTAACTGTAGGTGAGCTGCACCACGCGGAAATGCTGCTCCTGGAATTACCAGAAGCATAAATGGTTCAGGGAAAGGGGAACAAGGACCAGGAGGGGAAGCGCCTCAACTGCATCTCCAACGCCGTAAGCTCCCGCTTGGCGCCACGGGCATGTGAAGGAATTTAGTCCGGCTCAAAGAGGAACGAAGCATCACGAGTCAGCGGCGGGGACCTGTGGCTTGAAAATCTCTTGTGCATTGGAATAATTAGAAAATAGCCGTGTTAACTACCAAAGTTAATGATCTTCGTATCCACTTCATGTAAGAAAAGGAACAGCTGTTTTTTCTGGTTTGCCCAATTTTGCTCAGTGTCACAATAATTTCTCTCAGAAAAGTGTTATTTCTCACATAACTACATTAAATGCACCAAGAGCTCGAGAGCCGAGCGCCGGCCTGGGCGCAGCAGCGCCTTCGGCGCAGGAGCCCAAGCGTGTCCAGCCCCGCGCAGGACAGGACACGTTGTTTACACACAGTCATTATGGCAGCATCTCTCTCGGTAGCGTCTCCTCAGCGGAAAGCAATTGTTTCTCTCCTCCTCCTTTGTCCAAAGCATGAAAGATTGATGCTTCTAATTTCAGCGCTGCAGCTGCCTCATAACCCGATTTCATGAGCTGCGGCTAAGGGCAACGTTGGAGGAGGAGCGAGGGCCGGGCCCGTCAGCAGCTCCACTGAGATGGAGCAGCGGGGAACGGATTCGCGGTGGCAGAACTTCTCAGTGGGCTTTGGTGTTGGGAGGGGAACGGGCATCACACAGTACAGCTCAGAAATCCCGACCCTGCCAAAGGGAGGCCCAAGAAAAACCTGGCAGGGACCAGAACGGAACTGGAGACAGGAATGGGGTGAAGGAGGTCACTTATCGCAACACTCACCCACCGTTACGGCATTTAAATATTCATCTGCTATGAAGAGCTTGTGTACCGGGCAGCCACCGCGCAGCTCGGGACGACTGGAGTCCCAGTTACAGATCGATCTCCTTAGGTAAAGCCCCGCGCAGGATAAACAGCACCAGAAGATGCCATCGCAGCGTGGCCGACTCCAGCCCCGACTCCCAGCTGCTCCCAGCAAGGCTGAGCCCGGAGATTAATTAACACGAGACGATCTCCATCGCGGGAGATTTACGGCTGCGGTGCTGGCAGAGCTCGGCGGGGACCTCCCTGCCCCAGGCAGCCCCTCCACACCCCGCGGCGAAGGACACGAAGGCGTCGCGAAGGCGCGAAGCGGCTTTACCCAACGTGCCAAAATCTCCCACGTAGGCGCTTGGCCAGCGCAGACCCTCTCATCATCATCATCATCCTCCGGCCACCGTCCCTGCCCGATGGGCCAGGAGCCGGGCAGGGTGGGCAGCGCCGGGGCGTGACCTGCTCAGCACCGTCCCCTCCGGGCACCGCGCCGGCGGGCGAGCTGGGGGCAAAGGGCGCCGCGATTGCCGTCTGTAACGGCAGGGGACAAAGAGGGCAAAGTGAGGTTTAGTTTTGTAACATTAATTTTTTTTTATTAAGAAGACAGATATTTTATAGTACTTCTTTTCCTTTGTAAAAATGGTATACATGAACCAATACAAAATGTGAATGGGAGCAGATGGATATGTATTTTCTTACATTGTAACATCTTCCATGGACACCTTAAAACAGAACTGGCCTAAGGGGAAAAAATAAAAAGGCCGGGTGAATAAAGAACAAGGTTGTTTATCATCAGTTCCACGTCCTTCATTTGTAATACTCCTTTAAACAAGGTTGTTCTTTCTTCACGCTTCAAAATCCTAATGATCTAAAGCTGTACAAAGTAATACTCAACAATACATTTCAAACAGTGCACTGTATACTGAAGAAAAAATACATAAACCAATATACAACTAAAATTCGTAATTTCCTGTTTTTTTATCCTGTTTTTAAGTTGTTTTTTTTTTTTTTTTCCAATGTGTGGGGCCGAAATTTTGCAATCTACCTGAGACGGAAAACACCAATCAAAACACATGAACCTGAGACATGTCAACATTGTAAGTCAAAGTTACATCGGTAACACTGCACTACGGTACACTTCCAAAACAAAATGGGCTGCTCAACCCAGGCTGCCGATCCCGCACCCGCGACGGCTGAAAACGCCCCCCCCCGGCCCCCAACCTCCCGACGGCTTCTCACCACGATGGGGTTTGGCAACGGTGCTGAAGGCTCAGAAAAGAGCTGCGCTCGACAAAATCTGCTCGGAAAAAAAAGGGTATTCCTGCCAGGTTCTTCTCGTGACAAGGGGAAAGACAGAGCGGTGCTGGCGGATGGGCTCGCTCTGCCGCCACCATCCCGCTCCCAACGGGCTCCCGCACTGTAATGGTTCTGCCGAAAACAACAACTAAGAAGAAAAAAAAAAACCACACGAAAACGCTCCCCCCGAAATCCCTAAAAAAAACCCCCAAACCTGACGCTAAGATTAATGCTTCCCTTAAATAAATCAGCATACATCTTCCACAGAAACACAGTAAAAAAAAAAGCATCGCTCGAAATCCAAGATTACTCACCAAAAAAAAATTCAGCATATATAACTTCAATGCCGTCTGCTCACTGCGGTCCGCTACCTGCCACGTACGATTCTAATTTAGCTAGACTCTCCTTTGCACCTATGGCTTTGTAAGTCAGTTAGCACTGTCGTTTTAACGCAAATTCCCACGTTTTACTTAGCGGGTACAAAAAAAGGCAGTTTCGCTCGTCCGGGCCTCGGCTGTAGCGCGCAGGGGGTGGGGGGGAGGCGTCTGACCCACCGCGT